GACTGTGGCAAAAGCAAGCAAGGGTAGTACCAATAGTAATAGGCTCCTTGGGTGCAATCCCAAAACAACTGGAGCACCACTTGAACACCATTGGCATTGACAAATTCGCTATTAGTCAATTGCAAAAGGCGGCCTTACTAGGAACTGCTTCCATCCTGCGACGATACTGTAATACCATCAAACATCCACATCTGCCTATCCCAGGTCCTGGGTAAGGACTCGATAGGTAGACAAAATGCCAAATCCAGTCTGAACATCTGGCTGACTGTGCGATGAATGATAATAATAATAAAAAAGTGGCAGTGCCTGGAGACAGCAGAATAGAAGAGAAAGAACTGGAGAAGATAACAAAATACAAAGACCTACAAATAGAAATAGAAAGACTGTGGCAAAAGCAAGCAAGGGTAGTACCAATAGTCATAGGCTCCTTGGGTGCAATCCCAAAACAACTGGAGCACCACTTGAACACCATTGGCATTGACAAATTCGCTATTAGTCAATTGCAAAAGGCGGCCTTACTAGGAACTGCTTCCATCCTGCGACGATACCTGTAATACCATCAAACATCCACATCTGCCTATCCCAGGTCCTGGGTAAGGACTCGATAGGTAGACAAAATGCCAAATCCAGTCCAGCTGACTGTGCAATGATCCATAATAATAATAATAATAATAATAGTAGTAGTAGTAGTAGTAGTAGTAGTAGTAGTAGTAAAGTTGGAAGGGATCTTGGAGGTCATCTAGTCCAACTCCCTGCTCAGGCAGGAAACCCTATACCATTTCAGACAAATAGTTGTCCAGTCTCTTCTTAAAAACTTCCAGTGTTGGAGCATTCACTGCTTCTGGAGGCAGGTTGTTCCACTGGTTAATTGTTCTCACTGTTAGGAAGTTTCTCCTTAGTTCTAGGTTGCTTCTCTCCTTGATGAGTTTCCATCCGTTGTTTCTTCTCCTGCCTTCAGGCGTTTTGGAGAATAGCTTGACTCCCTCTTCTTTGGGGCAGCCCCTGAGATACTGGAACACTGCCATCATGTCCCCCCCTCGTCCTTCTCTTCGTTAAACTAGACATACCCAATTCCAGCAACCGTTCCTTGTATGTTTTAGCTTCCAGTCCCCTAATCATCTTTGTTGCTCTTCTCTGTACTCTTTCTAGAGTCTCAACATCTTTTTTACACCGCGGTGACCAAAACTGGACGCAGTGTTCCAAGTGTGGCCTTACCAAGGCCTTGTAAAGTGGTATCAACACTTCACATGATCTTGATTCTATCCCTGTTAATGCAGCCTAGCACTGTGTTGGCTTTTTTGGCAGCTGCAGCACACGGCTGGCTCCTATTAGGTGATTGTCCACTAGGACTCCGATGTCCCTCTCACAGTTACTACTACTGAGCAAGGCACCCTCTATACTATACCTTTGCATTTGTTTTTTCTTGCCTAAATGTAGAACCACCATTGAAATAAGATTTCTTTAATGAACAGGAAGAACACAAGAGGAACATTTTGCCCTGTCTTGTCCTGTTTCATTTCCTCCTTGCAACACTAAATGGTAGTTTTGGTGGGAAATCCAACAGCTGTTCTCAATTTGAACTTTACCTTGTTTACCTGCGTGGATTAACGCCCAACCTATGACAGCTTCCCTTTTGTCTGCTTATATTTTTTATTCAAACTTCATTCAGGCTCGGACACAGGAGATCCCAGCAGGTTTTGCAAAGGTCTTCAGGTTTGGAGACAAGACAGACAAAAAGCCAGAGGAGAAAAACGCCACCCCTGCAGATTAGACAAGCCCAGTTCTCAGGGCTAGTTCGTACATCAGGTTTGGTTAAAGTAGTAGGGCTTGTGGTCCCGTGTGTTATAGAAAGCTGGAACTCTAGGCTAAACAAACTATGATTCTGAGCAGTGGTTCTTAACCTGGGCAATATTGCCCCCCCCAGGGGGCGATTTCATTTTTCAGGGGGGCGATGGAATGAAAAGGGGCGATGCGGGGGCGAAGGAACGCAAAGGGGGAAATATGGGGGCGATGGAGCGAGACGTTTTGGGGACACTTTTGAGACTTTTTCGTACAGTGAACCGCTGTATATCTGTCGTACAAAAACATCAGATCGCTCGCTATTAGTGGATTGAACTGTGTTTTCAAATGTTCCTCCAGCTAGCTTCAGTACAGAACGCCGTACATATGTGAAGACGCATCGCTTATCTTCATGCGCGTTGTGCAGCAGCCTCTACCCATACGGTGGTGCGCCATTAGCCAGAATATGGGAGATATGGGGAAAAGACTGGAAATAAATGATTTGCATCGATATGTCCCGATGAACAATTTTAAAGAAAACAAAACAAGCGTTTGCATAAATTGAAGAATTATTTCCTATGTTGTGATTGAGAGGTTATGTTGGGGGAGGGGGGCGATGACAACTTCCTCATTGGCTCAAGGGGGCGATTCGTTCATTCATTCTGAGGGTTCCTGGGTGCTCTCTGAGCTGGGTGGTTTTCTTGCAAACATTTCATGACCCAACTAGGTTACATCATCAGGACTACCACTAATGATGTTACCTACGTGGCGTAATGAAACGCCTGCAAAACTACCCAGCTCGGAGAGCAGCAAGGGCCCCATAGTCATTTTCCTCCTCCTCCTCCTCCTCCTCCTCCCCCCCCACAAATCCTCCTGCCTTCTAGCAGTGATGATGTTACCTAGATGGATAATGAAACGTCTGCCAGAAAACCCATCAAACTGAAAAAGCACCAAGGGCCCCATAGTCATTTTCCTCCTCCTCCTCCTCCTCCTCCCCCCCCCCGCAAATCCTCCTGCCTTCTAGCCCTGCTGATGTTACCTAGATGGATAATGAAACGTCTGCCAGAAAACCCACCAAGCATTTTGATGTTAAAGAAACTAATTTGATGTTGAACCTTATAACAGCTGCAAGATTATTGGTGGGGCACTATTGGAAGAAAAACTCACTGCCTACTCTGGAAGAATGGACACTTAAAGTGTCTAATTTAGCAGACATGGCGAAAACCTCCGCCTATTTGAAGGACCAGTCACAAGAAAAAATATATTACGGTTTGGAGAAGATGGATTGATTACATTCAGAAGAAATATGAGATTGAAAAGTATTATCTTGCTTTTGAGCAGCTCTTAGATAATTGTTATTGGTTTTAATTATCTTATTATTTTTGACTTAATTTGTTAATATTTACAACGCTTAGAGAGTGCTTGCACTTAAAGCGGTATATAAGTCTCATAAATAAATAAATAAATAAATATTTGTTTTGAGAAGGCGTTAAAGTGTATTATGGTTTTGGTGGATAGTATAGTTGGTTTATGTTAGTTAGATTATGTTTGTTTATTTAATTTTTTTATCCTGTAATCAGCTCTGGGAAGTGGGGGAGGGGGGAAGGGGTGGGGGGTGTTATATTGTAATACATTTATAAAACTTTTAAATAAATTAAAAAAAACCCACCAAGCTCGGAGACCAGCAAGGGCCCCATAGTCTTTTTGCTCCTCCCCCTCCTCCTCCTCCTCCAGGCATATCCTCCTCCCTTCTAGCACTGATGATGTTACCTAGTTGGATAATGAAACGTCTGCAAGAAAACCCATCAAGCTGAGAGAGGACCGAGCACCCACCCACCCACCCACCCACACACACAAAGTTCAACCCTGAGTTACAAATATTTTCCTTTATCGATTAACAAGGTGTTTTGGGACTGAGCCCAATTCGCTAACCCAGAAGAGCTTCGTTCAGTCCGATGACATATTGAGGGCATGAGATGATTGAAAGCAGAGAGTGGGAGTGGGAATGGCACCCAAAAGCTGGATTTCTCAACCTGGGTCATTTTAGAGTGGGAGCACTTGGAAGGCTGTCTGTGAAATTCTGGGAGCTTAATTTTTCTTGGGCGCGTGCCTCGGCATGGATATTTCCCAAGGAGAGAGGGAGATCACAATTACAATTTATTCCGAATATTCTGATCAAAGGGATTCAAAGAGGGAGGCTGGAAACCCATCCTACAGTCCCTTTATAGTTAAGACATCAAAGAAGGTGATTGGACAGGACAAAAGTAACTAATAATAATAACAAAGAAGTTGGGGAGGGATCTTGGAGGTCATCTAGTCCAACCCCCTGGCTCAGGCAGGAAACCCTATACCATTTCGGACCAATGGCTGTCCGGTCTCTTCTTAAAAACTTCCAGCGTTGGAGCATCCACCGCTTCTGGAGGCAGGCTGTTCCACTGGTTAATTGTTCTAACAGTCAGGAAGTTTCTCCTTAGTTCTAGGTTGCTTCTCTCTTTGGTTAGTTTCCATCCGTTGCTTCTCGTCCTACCTTCAGGTGCTTTGGTGAACATAACAGAATAGAGCTGGAAGGGACCTTGGAGGTCTTCTAGTCCAACCCCCACCTCAGCCAGAAAACCCTCTACCATTTCAGACACTTCCAGTGTTGGAGCATTCCCCGCTTCTGGAGGCAGGTGGTTCCCCTGGTGAATTGTCTGAAACGGATTCCTGTCGGAGCAGGGGGTCGGACTAGAAGACCTCGAAGGGTCCCTTCCAGCTCTGTTCGGATTGCCTGGCTGGAACAACACAAGCCGCGGGCGGCGCTTCAGGCCGCGCCGTTCACCAAAAGGCGCCGGGCTCCACGCAGCGGGGCCGGCTTCCTACGGTAGCCCTTATGGGGGGGGCGTGGAGGGGGGGGGAGACGGGCGGGGTCTGCCTCCTGCCTGATGTAATCGGCCCGGCACGTGCGACTCCCCCGGAGGGGCGTCCCCCCCGCCCCGCCCCGCCCCGCCCTGCCGCGCCACGTGACCCGCGCTCCCCTCCATCCGTCCATTCACGCAGCCAGCCGTCCATTCATGCCTTCGGGCGGGCGGGCGGGGGGGGGAGGTCAATGACCGTGGGTTAACAAGGCGAGCACGCGCTCTGCGCACCATTTGGCCCCCGCCCCTTTGGGCCTCCACGCGGCGCGAGCCCACCTACCCCGCCCTCCCGCCCCTCCCACCCAGGCCCCGCCCACCCCGCCCACCCTTTAAAAAGAGGCCGGGCTGAGGGGGAGCGGCGCTCAGTCGACACGCGGCGCAGACGGAGCAGGAGGCAGCCAGGCAGGCAGGCAGGTGAGGCCAGCGGGGCTGGACGGGGCGGGCGCTTCTCGGGAGAGGGGACGCTGCCGGCTGGGGCGCCCGGGCTCCGAGAAAGAGGGATGGGGGGGGGGGGTTGGACGGGGCGAGGTCTGCCGAGCAAGGGGCGCCTGGACGGGGCTCCCCTCTTCGCCTTCCCCCTCATCTTTCGTGGGCGCCGCTGCTTCTGGCCGGCTCCGAGGCGCCCCTCCTCGGGGGAGACCCGCCCGTCGGTCCGTCTGCTCCCGCAGGCTCTGGGTCTTCCCCAGCCTCCGCCAACCCGGCGCCCGCCAGGCTTCGGGGTGCGGGGGCGGCCAAGGGGCTGCGCTGGGCTGCGGGACTCGGCTCGTTTGGAGGACGGGGCGCCCGCCGTCAATGGAAGGAGGAAGAGGAGGAAAGCGGCTAATTTGGGGGGGGGAGAGGTGGGGAGCGTTCATTAACCCCCCCCCAGTGGTTTTGCTTTATTTACTCATGGCTGTCTCACCTTTATTATGTTGGCACGCAAGGGGGGACGCGCCCGACGAATCTATCTTCCTTCCTTCCTTCCTTCCTTCCTTCCTTCCTATCTATCTATCTATCTATCTATCTATCTATCTATCTATCTATCTATCTATCTATCTATCTATCTATCTATCTATCTATCTATCTATCTATCTATCTATCTATCTATCTATCTATGTATCTATCTACCTTCCTTCCTTCCTTCCTTCCTTCCTTCCTTCCTTCCTTCCTTCCTTCCTTCCTTCCTTCCTTCCTTCCTTCCTCTTTCCCCCCCTCACCACAGCCCTGCGAGGTGGGATGGGCCGCGAGAGGGAGGGACTGGTCCAAAGCCACCCAGCCATCTTTCCTGGCTAAGGTGGGACTAGACCGCCCCGTCTCCCGGTGACCGTGCCGGAGTCACCCAGCCGTCTTAATAACAGAATCACGGAGTGGGGAGGGACCTCGGAGGTCGTCTAGTCCAGCCCCCTGCTCAGGCAGGAGACCCCTAGACCTGTTTCAGACATTTAAATGCTTGTCCGATCTCTAAAAATCTTTCAGGGCTGAGTCAGGACTCGAATTCGCCACCTCCTGGTCAGCATCCCAAAGTCACCCTGTGGCTTTCCTGCTTAAGGGAGAACTAGAACTCGCCGTCGCCTGGGGTTTGGCCCAGGGCCACCCACCCAGCTGGCTTCCCCGTCTAAGTCAGGACTAGAACTCGCCGTCTCCTGATGACCATCCCAGCGCTGACCCCGCCACCGTTCGTGGCTAAGGCAGGACTAGAACTCGCTGTCTCCTGCTCTCCAGCCCAGTGCCCTAACCACTAGGCCAGTGTTTCTCAACCTTGACCATTTTAAGGCATGTGGACTTCAACTCCCAGAATTCCACAGCCAGCGTTGCTGGCTGTGGAATTCTGGGAGTTGAAGTCCACATGCCTTAAAATGGTCAAGGTTGAGAAACACTGCACTAGGCCAAGTATGGCAGCTTTGGGGGGGGGGGCTGCAGGACTCTTCCTGATGGGGGGGTCAGGGGGGAGCAGAATATTCTTCCCGGGGCATCGGTTGAGGGGGGACCCCCCTTTTTCACCCCAGAGTTGCTATTCTCTGGCCCAATGGAAGGAGGTGGCCGGGAGCTGGTGTGACCCCTTGCTGGATCCTTGCCCGGTCAGAACCCCTTCGGGATCGGACTAGAGGTGGGAGGGACCTCGGAGGTCTTCTAGTCTAGCCCCCTGCTCAGGCAGGAGACCCCAGACCATTACAGACAAGTGGCTGTCCCGTCCCCCCTTCAAAGCAGGGATGGAGCGCCCAGGATTTTTTTGGGGGGGGCTTCCTTTGTTCACGCCAGAGTGGTGGGGGGGGTGGCTCCTAGGGCCCCTGTGGATTTTGACATCCCGCCGCTCCTTCAAACAGCCCTCCCCAAAGGCCACTGGGGCTGGGGATGATGGGAGTCGGTGTCCGTCCCATCTGGAAGACTCTCCAGCCCTCCGGGGCAAACTGGAAGAAGTGAACTCTGCCCGATTGCCAGGGGCCACAGAGACGAATCTCGCTAGGCTGGTTGGCCCGCCCCTCCGCTCGGATGCCCAGTAAATGGGGAACCCCCTTGCCCCCCCCCAGCCAGCCTCTCCTGCCCCCCCTCCTCCCCTTCCCCGACCTCAAGGAAAGTTTCGCGCCCCCTTCTAATTTACCTGTAGAGCACCTTGTTCCTTTCAGATCGGCACCCAGTGTGCAGAGGGAGAGCCTCACGAAAGGAGAAGTGGGGGACTCCTCCCCCCAAAATTGGGGGGCAGGGGTCCAGGGACCCCCCTACTGGTAGATTTCATTCAAAAGCGGAAGCTTTGGGGCGGGGGGGGGGGGAGAAGGGCGGAATTGAAACTCAACAGGGAGCTCTTCCTTGGGCAACATTTCCAGCAATGAAACAAAACAAATCCGATCGCAAAAACCCCCAACCGTTGCTGTTTGTTTACATCATTTCCTCGTTGCGTGTAATGGCTGGGTGAGTGTGTGTAGTGCTGTGACTTAAGCGGATCGGTCTCATATTTGCCCAAACCGTTTCCTCATTTCAAACAAGGCCGCAATTGATCGACTGCAACGGTTGGTTATATAATCGCACACGTGTGTGTGTGTGTGTGTGTGGGGGGGGGGGGGGCGTTGTTTAGCTGCGACAATCGGGAAGTTCTTCTCCAGCAGGCAGAGAGGAGGGGGCCGGGCCGTGGAGGGCTGTGGCCCATGGGGAACGATGGCCCAATCTAGTGCAGGGGGTGGGAGTGTGTTTTGTTTTGTTTTTTCCCCTCTTGGCTACTGCTTGTCTGTTTGTCTGGGATTAATCCCCGCTTATCTGATCTTTCTTTTGAGTCCTTGGCTGATTGATTGCCTGCCTTTCATTGCCCAACTAGATCACCCGATCAGCGTGCTGGAGGGGAAGGAGCCCCACCTTTCATGAAATATCTCTGGCGTCCGCTCTTTGACACACGGATTTCTCAGTGAAATAGCTCCTGCTTCCCCTTAAAAAGCAGAAAGGCATCAGTTCCGTACGCGGTGGAGTTCTAGGGCTGGGAGGGCCCTGGAGGCCATCTAATCCACCCCTCCTCTGGTCGCTTAGGGCGAGAATCCCAACTGAAGCCTGCCCGCCCAGTTTCTGCTTGAAGAGGTGCTTGCCAGATCCCTGGGGAACGGATCCCGCTCTGAGATCCCTCGGTGGGGGGTGAACTATCCCTTCCGTTGAGACTCTTGGCAACCACGACACAGGCAGTCCTCTACCTATGACCGTTTTTCACCCTTAACGACCGTTGCAGCATCGCCCATGGTCATGTGATTTACATTCGGATGCTAGACAACTGATTCGTATTTATGATGGTTGCGGCGTTCCTCTCTCTCTCTCTGTGTGTGTGTGTGTGTGTGTGTGACGGGATCTCCTTTTTTTTGCTACTTTCTGACAAGCAAAGTCAAGGGGGAAAAGCTGGATTCACTTAACGGCCACGGGCCGATTCACTTAACAACAGTGGTCGTAAAATGGGGCAAAACTCAACATATGTCTCACTTAGCCACAGAAATGTCGGGCTCAGTTATGGTCGTAAGGCGAGGACTAGGTGTACTTTGATTTGGTCTTCAAAGTAGGTTTTTCTCCTGACTTTCTGTCCCTGAAGTCCACTAAGAGGCATCCTTCCCCTCCCCCCCCCAGGAAAGGACTGGGGGGTCTCCTGATCTGCTTAGGTATGGGGTGGGCTGCTGTACCCCCTCCCCAATCTTCTCCTTTCCTTCCATCTCTCTTGGTTGCTACAGGAGCACCACTGTAGTAACGGAAGTTATGTGGCTAAGTAAAACATTCGTTAAGTGAGCTTTGCCCCATTTTACGACCTTGCCACGGTTGATAAGCGAATCATCGCAGATGTTGTGGCACGGCGGGTAAGTCAATCTGGCTTCCCCTGTTGACCTTTGCCTGCTTGAAGGTCGCAAAAGAGGGAATCACGTGATCCCGGGGACACAGCGCCCGTCATAAATAGGAACCAGACCCCCAGCGAAGCTGCGACGGGCGTGAGTGTGAAAAACGGCCCTAAATCGCTTTTTTCCAGTGCCGTTGTAACTTTGAACGGTCACTAAATGAAGCGTTGGAAGTGGAGGGCTACATGTCATTTTCTGGACAATTCTGTTGCCCTCTTCTGCCTCCTTCCCCCCCCCGTTTGCTTCAAATGTGCCCACGGGAAGGTCTGTTTCTTGGATTAGTGCCACGTTAAGAGCCGTGGTGGCGCTGTGGTTAGAATGCAGCATGGCAGGCTGACTCTGCCCACTGCCAGCAGTTCGATCCTCTCACCGGCTCAGGGTCGACTCGTCCTTCCGTCCTTCCGAGGTCGGTAAAATGAGGACCCAGATAATTGGGGGGCAGTAGGCTGACTCTGCAAAGCGCCTAGAGAGGGCTGTGAAAGTGCTGCGAAGCGGTATGTAAGTCTTAAGTGCTGTTGCTATTCTCTCCTTCCTTCCCTCCTTCCTTCCCTCTCTCCTTTCGCGGCCTTTTCTTTCTACCTTTCTTTTCTTTCCCTCTACTCTTTCCTTCCTTCCCTTCTTTTTCTCCATTTTTTCCTTCTCTCCTGCCCCCTCCATCTCTTATTTCCCTTCTCTTTTTCTCTCCCTCTTCTTTCCTCTCCTTCCTTTCTCCCTCTTTTTTCTTTCTCCTTTTCTTTCTTTCCTTCCTTCCTTCCTTCCTTCCTTCCTTTCCTTCCTTCCTTCTTTCCTTTCTTCCTTTTTCTTTCTTTCTTTCCTTTCTTTCCTTCTTTCTTTCTTTCCTTTCTTTCTTTCTTTTTTTCTTTCTTTCTTTCTTTCTTCCTTTCTTTCTTCCTTTCCTTCCTTCCTTCCTTTCCTTCTTTCCTTCCTTCCTTCCTTTCCTTCTTTCCTTCTTTCTTTCCTTTCTTCCTTTTTCTTTCTTTCCTTTCTTTCCTTTCCTTCTTTCTTTCCTTCCTTTCTTTCTTTCTTTCTTTCTTTCTTTCTTTCTTTCTTTTCTTTCTTCCTTTCCTTCCTTTCCTTTCTTCC